AACAACTGAAAAGATAAATCAAAAAAGCAAGTTAGGAGCATTTTGAATTGGAGACAGAAGATGTCATTAGTGTCGTATGCTTGACCAAAAATGTTCCTTTCATATCTTTGATTCTTTCTCGTAAATTAACTCAACTTTCACCATAAAATATATTCACTCACTTCAAAGCAAGGCGATAAAAATATTAATTTCAAAGGCAAAAAATACATTTTAAATAAATCACTCCTCAGCTCTTGAAATGAGAATGGCACCCACCCCTGGCATATGTTGTATACCTGTTTGTAACCAAAACAGTTTTCTGGTATATAATAAGGGTGGGGTGATATTTTCCGATCAACCCATTACTACAGGGACAACATTGATGTTTTTGTAAGATATTTTGCTAGGCACAAAATCAGCAGAGGTGTTTTCTGTGAAAAGGGAGAAAAATTGCTATAATAACTGGTCTGTTGCTGGAGAAAAAAAAAGAACAAAATGAGGCGCTCGTTTAATATGTGGATGGAGTCTAGAAGCTACATTTTGTTGCATTTTTCATTCGTCTTTTGAAAACTTGCATTTGATAACATAGCAATTTAGATGAATTTATTTTAGAATTGGGTTAGACTATGGCAAAAATTGATTATTTGTCCTATTGTTGCCAATTTTTGCAGGATCAATTATTCACAATTAAAAAAGACAATTAAAGAATTGACATAGTTAACTTCTGTTGTTTGTCATATACATATCGAAAATTAATGCCAGCAGTGATAATATACTGGGAGTGATAAGTCTTTCATTCCCTTTGAAATACTTTTAGTCTCAAGAGAGCTTGATGGCTGCACTTCAAAGCTTGGACTGGGATATTGGCAAATAGTTTTACACCTTCGGGAGAGTGGCAACGCATTGTTCCTTTAAACAAGAATGTGCATAATTGATAGTTCACCCAGGGTCAGAATAGAAAAGCAGATCAACTTTGAAATGCTCATTTCCTAAAGTAAAAACAGTGTTTATTTTCCATATTTTCCCTAATTCAAAACATTGTTGTTTGAAATGAAAAGAAAAAAGTGCACACACAATCATATGGGGTTAAGACAAATAGAAAAGGATTGATGTTTTTGTAGCAGTCTTTGATTGCAGTTTTAAGAAATGAGTTCCATTTGACAATGAATTTGGAGGGTTGGGGATGGGGTGCAAATAATGAAACCCTTATTTCTATCTGCCACCTTTCTCTGTCCTTATGAAATATTTTTTAAAACTAATGTGATTGAATTCTCAAGACAGACACATAGAGATGAAAGTGTACCAGATTCATTCGGAAGCCCCTATGTAAAAGTGTTGTAATTATGCCCCCCCCCCCCCCCCCCTTACAGAGCTAGGTGCCTTCAGCGCCTGCAATTTTCAAATTTTTAAAGGTCCACTTTCATCTTTGAAGCACAAGACACCTTTATGCACAAAAAGCCAATAGTCAGATTTTGTAAGCTATCTTTCCCTGTTTATTAATCATTTGTTCAAACAAGTATTACTATTGTATTTTAGTAAAACACTTAATTGATTATCTTTGTTTTTATTCCCTTAGTTATTAATATTTTATTCTAGTACAATATTCTTTGAATTATCTTTGTATTTATTTTCATAAGATTGCAATTAATGTGAAGATGTTTCATCTCCTTGGTGTATTATGACTTCTTGTGTTTGTGGAGCCAGTACTACGGATGTATTTCAGTCAGACTCATCTTTTAAGACATGTAGACATATTTCCTTGACCCACGTTAGATGACAGTTATATTACATAGCACTTGCTCTTTCTCTTGTGTTTATTGTCTCTCATTATTCCTGGAATGATTCAAATTGATTCCTGACAATTTCTTTCATACTTTTTCTCTCGCTGGTCCATTTTTTTTTTTTTTTTTTTGTAGAGAGATTTGTCTGTCAATTTTTTCCATGTTTAATGCCGTCCCATGTGTCTATTCATTTGTTGCTTATGAATGCTCATTACAATTGATTGCTTGTCGTTTTTCTCATTGATTTCTCAATTCCTGGCAACACTTTCAGTTATGCTGTCAGTTCTCATGATTACAAAATCATTACTTCTCTGGGCACAATTAGCTGTATTGTTGTTGCTGCAGTTACCGTAAAATTGAAAAGATGTAACTTAGGATCTAAAAGTCAAATGCAGTTTTTGCCATTTGAAGAATAACATTGCTGCATATTCTGTACTCCATAGATGTTATCACCAAGACTTGCTAATTAAATAAATCATGCACATTCATCATGAAAATGCCTATTAATAATCTCATCTGTATATATTTTTTCATTTAGCAGTTAAATAATTCTGCCATTTCATGTCACTGTTTTACGTCACAGTTGCAGTTGGCAGATGTGATATTATATTGTCACAAAATATATGATTTTTTATGATTTTAGGGAGAACATATGGAGTTGCTGTGGATTGCTTCTTGCTTAAAAATCTTTCCAAGGCTCCTGGGGCATTGTTTTGTTAATTGTACCACCAGCGTTAGCGCTGGCGGTACACATGGTTTTAGTCCCGACCAGATCGTTCCGCTGGCTCCGCCGACAAGTTACCGTTACCGCTTCTCCTCCTAGACAGTAGGGGCCTCCATACCCATCTCTTGTTTTATTGGTGCTTTAGTTGAAGTTTGCTGAAGTAACTATGGTTTGCATTGCTAGTGCAAATTTTGTGGCTATAGACAAAGAAAACTATATACATTTTACTGTACTTCTACACATTCCCCTGACATAACTAGTGCATGTTACCTCAGAAGAGCTTTTATACATTTACTGTACTTGCTCTATTCAGAAGGGAGCTAGAGGCAGTTAGCAGTGGAATGCTCACTTATAGATTATCTACTGATATAGAACTAATTGCCAACACAGCAAGAGGTAAACGGGTAGAAAAAAAAGAGAATATTATATATGTAGATATAGTGGGGTTTGTCTTGGTAAGTGGAATGTTCCAGCAAGATCAGGTGGCAGCTGGTGGTTTTTGTGGTGAGAAGAGCACCTGAGCCGTTGGGTTTTCCAGAAGTGCCCAGGTTTTTAAATAGTGTGCCATTTATATTTCTGCAGACATTGTGCATGCAATGTTTATGTGGAGTTGTTTAGTTTAATGTCGTTGCTGACTGCAGAATCTGTTGGTAGTTTGAAACCCAAAGATGTCACCTGAATCTGTTATTTTCACGCAAAATTAACAAAGATCATTCACAGGTAAGTTTTTATTGTAAAAATATTATTGCCACTGGAATTTTTTTTCATGAAAGGGGGGCTTCTGAATGAGTCATTATCTACTGGTAATAGGAAACTAAAAGATATCACCTGAATCTGATATTTGTGCTCAAAGAATGTTAATAATGATCACTGGTAAGTTTCTATTTTTAAAATAGTATTGTCATTGAAAACAATTTTTTCGTAATACAGAGTTTGTGAATCAGTTATTATATGCCCAAAAGATACAAAAAAATCTTCATTAAGGTAGGTGTTCAGTTTAAGAATCTCTATTTGCCAGGAATCTTTTGGTAGTTTGGAAAATCATGTCTGTTGAACAAGCAATTTCTGTACCAAAGACAAGTAACCTTTATAGAAAAGTGAATAGTCATTGAATGTTGCTGATTCTTTGATCTGTAAGCAGTTTTGAAAAAAAAAGTGGATTTTTCCTCCAACAAGACATTTCTACCTAAAAGCTACAAGTAAACCCCTCTAATCAGAGTTCATGTTGTGAAAATTGCTTTTTGGGTACTGGTCAGGCTGGGTTGTTATCACATACAGATAGTGTTAGGGGAGTTTTATCAGCCGTGCTTCTTGAACAACTTCAAAGCGCGTGCTACAAGTAGTGTGTTATTAAGAAGAACCAAGTAAGGCTCGACCTGTTAGATCAGAAGCAAATGGAAATAATTTTGACAGGTAAATATGTCAATTTAGCATACATGTTGGATAACATAGGCGTCAGAGGTTGGGATGAGGGGGTAGGTGGGCACAGCCCCTTCCCCTTTCGTTTTTGAACAGTCTCTGTCATAAGCACAGAAAGCAAAAGGGCAAAGAGGATTCCCCCTTTCTTTCTCCCTGTGCTAATGTAAAGATGAAATTTTGAGCCCCATGTTGAGATCTGTAATACTTAAACAAGAAATGTTGCTTTCTCTATAGCTTTATGATTTTGTAATAGCTTTGATGTGTATGTGCTTGTTTTTTACTTGCGTGTATATGTGCACGTATCTTTGTGTGAGTGTATGAATGGATATGAATGTTTGCGTATATGTGTGCATGAGTGTTTATGTGTATATGTGCAGGCATGCATAAGTGCATGCACATGCACATGATGTACTGTACAAGGTTATACGACTGCAGATTATTAAGACTGATAGCGGGAACATGTCTTTAAATGCTGACAACATTTCCTAGTAATCCAAGCCCTGATATCACCCACATCCAAACAAACATGTATTTAGAAAACATGGTTTTCTCAATAGATGAACTTGCTTTTCAAAACACATAAAATTTAATCAAATACCGGATGTTTTTAGGGAGAATGAATCTACTGCTTTGAGAAATGAGTAATGTAAATCGGTACCACTTGTTTGGTTTTTTTTTTCTTTCACTGAAGTGGGTTAGGTAGAGTTGTATGGGTTGTTCCTCTCACCTTTAAACCATTGTTTTGTTGCCAGAGCAATCCATTAACCGTCTAATTTGTTTTCTCATTGCTGGCTGCTTACAAGATTTTGTAAGTGGTGAAAGAAATTGCATAGATTTGTTGCAGATGATTTGGGTTCTTTTTCAAGTATTAGCCTCGTCTGTATCTACCAGAAAAGTAGTACCTCCACAGTGTAAGGAGTGCCAAGGCTACATGTAAAGTGTTCAACTAGGGTTTTCAGCATTATATATTCTGTTGTTGATTGCAATATGTTGGGGAACTTCAGGAATTATGTGTTTTACTGTTGTGTTTGGGTTTCAGTCAAGACAAAATGCCACGTACTGATCGCTAACACTCTTCTTTGTTTTGTTCGTTTTAGGATACGCCAGACCCACCTCCAAAGAAAGTTCCACGAAATGACAAGATTGAAGTCTACTTTCCACCTCCACCTCCTCTCTCACCAAACTATGTTCATATAGGGAGGAGATTTTCTTCACCAGTCATACTAGCAGAGACTTCATCGTCTTCGTCATCATCATCATCATCACCAAAGGGCAGCAAGGGTCAGTTGGTTACCTCAGAAGATGAGAACCGTAACAAGAGATCTGTCTCTGAACCACCCAGGACTCCCACTGGGGGGCTTAAATTGACCAACAATGACCAGAACCGGCCATATTTGACCACCAATGTGCAATATGAAAACTTGACCAGCAGTGGACAACAAGAGAAAAAACAACATAGCCATGACAGCCAGGTTGAAGGGAATACCATTGACCGCAACCTGAACTCTGAACACCATGAGAAAGTGTTACAGAAAGGGACACTAGCATCCTTACTGGAGAGACCACAGTGCAATATTATTGAGAAAAACATTAACAGACCCAAGAGGCCAACAAGTCTGGACATTGTCAGCCATGCTGAAAAATTAAAGCCATCACAGGAACTAGAAGAACCAGATGAAAAAGGATGCTGTGGAAATGACAAAAGCCAAAATGGGTTTGTTTCCAACGTCAGTGCTGTAAAATCTGAGTCAAACACTAGTCAGAAATGCCCACCCACAGGGAA